ACGCAATGAGGCTCCTTCCCTCCCTCTCCTACTGGGACGAGCGCGTGATCGCTCCTTCCCTCCACCCCGCGGGGACTGAGCGTGACGCCTGCCACCACCCAGCCCACCGCGAGCGGGTGACCGCTCCCTCCACAGCGCATATCGCTTGTCGAGCGTCGGTATCACGCAGACGACGAGTGACGGATATCATGGCGACTAACGACGTGGCCGGTGGGGGAGGGCGCTCTGAGGAGGTAATGGGTAATGGAAAGTATCGAGCTCTGGGAATCCAAGGTTTCGCTTTAGTCGGTAAACCTAAGATTCAGAGTGTTAATATAGTCTAGTACACTCCTCCGATATTATGGCGGCGCGTTTCCGACTTGCCGCAACAAAACTCATTACGTTACATTCCATTATTTTCAGGCACATCGGCGAGCTGCGTATTACACTCGAATGCTCTCGTTGTTAAACGATGTCGATACAGCCATCGTGCGTCACTATGGGGCATTGCGTCTGCGGAACATGGCGGTTAGTTTTTCGGTAGCATATTATCAGCCTGTAGGGCTGTAGATCACGATGTAGTTTGCTTAGTGTACGAGGCGTAAGCTAGCCGACTCCAATATCAGCGCGAATTCTCTACACGATAGGTTTTTCACCGACTCTTCGGATAGAGTCTAAAGTTAGAGTCGAGGTCATTTCAATTTGCATGACTTCCTTCCTGCCTCTTTAACTGAGATCTATACAAGAAAAGCTGAGAAAGAGGCAGTTCGTTGCTACATTGTTGATTAAAATAAAAACAACCACCATCGGTGTAAACCAATGTGAAAATAGTTCATGCTATCTCCGGATATGAGCAGTGTAAGCAACGAAGCAGTCGGCACCAGCATTAGAGGCATGGCCGCAGCGAGATAACGGAACTTCATCACATGTTTCGGATCACAGTCACGCGCCACGCTATTCTACACATCATCACGTCTGCCAATAAAAACAAGAAAATCTTCATCAGATAGTCAACATTACGGCTCGGGTGATCGTACGCTTTGACTGCTGTGACTTTCACAACAATTTCACAACAGGCAACAGGCCACCATTTAGAATTCCACTGCTGACGGTTCTTAAGAAAGTTAATTAAAGTTAAAAGTTCTGTTTCTTTTATGTATACGTTATCAGCATCTCCACCACATCAAGAAGCGATAAAGAAGTAGAAAAAACCTTCTTAATTCGCTCTTGATTTACTACAACTCACGACCAATTCAAACAGGATCTATTATGTATTACTGTATGAATTGCACAAGTCATATCAGGGAAAGCAATTAGTTGAATTTACGACACGGCGTGCGCAATAACAATTAAATGTGTAGGTCTCTGTATGAAAATACTTAACCTATGAGAGAATCTATTGCAGTTGAATAAATAGTTTGCTTAGTGAAATACTTTTTAATGTTCCTTATATTGATTAAAATCCCAGCTTGCGGTTTACAAACAGATGTGCCTATTCACTGTCAATTCGCAGGACGATGTATTTACACCATTTTTAACGGTAAAAGTGGCAAGGAAATCGGCTTAGATTTCATTAACCTTTTTTCTTTTATTTTTCCTTCTTCAAATAGCGTATCAAAAATGGTTAGCACACTTCAAGCAAACGACCGGCGGCAGACACATTGATTTTTTTTGTGGGCTTCAAGCTATTGCGGTGGTAATCCAAACTTTAATTTTTCAAGTACTCTTCACGCTCCCGAATGCAACACACCGCAAGCCGCTAGCAACCTTTCAGTATACGGTAGACCGTATCTACAAGATGCTTAACAGTTTCTGTACGTAGATCGTCGTAACCCATATCCTCATTAGCTATTCATTCTCATCATCACATGAACACGATCCTTAAAACAGCAATCTCCGGTCCTCTTACACGCCCTTCTTAGATATTGAATTGCGAAGTAAATAGTTACAGCAGTTATCAAACGCCGATCAGAATTAGAGATCCTTCGTCAACAATCCGAGAGTCGCGAACGCGGGTGGGTGGGGAGTTGAGTGGGTGGGGGGGGGGGGGGTCTATATGGCTCGTCAGAAGACCAGCAGAGATATTGCTCAACGGGAGCACATGCACGAAACCGGCGAGGTATAGGAGAAATCGCAATCCTCTGGTGTTAGTGCAAATGATTTGTAACATTTATTTTCCCACAGTAAATGTAAAATGTAACTACCATTTTTAACATGGCTTCAGTTACCGCGAACGAAGTGAACAAAGTCAGCTATAATGTTGAAGAATGCGCTTGAAATAGTTTCTTAATGTTAGATATAGGATCTTTCTTATATGACATTTCATAGTACATTATAAATAGTAGTATGTATTTACAACTAAAACGAATGATTCCTAAACCAAATCGTTTCAGTTAACTTTAGTTGCGCATGTGTTTTTTTTAAATAATTTTGTTTATAGCAGTTGTGTTATAAGTATCCTGTATAATTATTTTGCTATTATTACTCAAGTTTCCTAGTCCATTTTTCGTTGTCACTCCGGAAGCGCTACGTTGAGGCCCCGAGGTATCAATTGAGTGGTACCAGATACGTCCAGAAAAAACTGGATTCGTTTTTTCACTAAATGTGTTTGCACGTTTACCTGCAATGTGCTGAATGCATCACCTCACATGGGTTCATCGAGCTTCGCAAAATCTATGAATATGAGTTTTTCAAATGCAGCAATGATGCTCGGGTAACAGGAAGCCTAAATAATTTACCTAGGTATTAATAGGTATCATTTCTAGGGTATTAATATTATTCAATATAATGTTAATATAATTAATGATAATAATATTAATTTAAAGGGAATATGTAATATGTATATTGGTCTTGATACGGTAATTAAGACTCTAGTCTGGTTACACGTGTAGCATGCAGGTTGATGAATAGTTATTACGACTTAGCAATATGCAGTCTAGTTGATAAATGAACTGAAACCCACTGAGCGTTTTAACGTAAAAAGAACCAGCCATTTAAACATATTACGCGCAGATTTTCTCTACACCCTCTCTCTTCTTAAGTATTTAATAAAAATAAAAATAAATTAATTTAATGTATATACGTATATACATAAACACGATATTTTACATATATATAATCGCGAAATCGCGGGGGTTTAGTGAATAATTCTAGCAGATTGGCAGTTAACAAGAAAACCCTTCTGCAATCGAATGAATAATATATTCCTAACAGCTAGGAAATGCGGTCGATTCCACGTAGCTGGTCCATCCTATACTTGGCAGGTGAGTGTTTGCACTGAACGACACTTGTTCAAATACGTCGACACTCACAACGATTCAACAGCGACGATGTGGGTAGAAAACGCCAAGTGTCGTATGTGCAAGTGTTATAATACGAAATGTTCTCGCAAATTTAGCAACCGGCAGTTAGATGCGATATGATATGACTACTAGGCACTTTAATTTAATTTAAATTTTTTTTTTTTAGGGTTAGGGTTAGGGTTTAGGTTAAGTTTAGGGTTTAGGTTAGGTTAGGGTTAGGGTTAGGGTTTTTTTTTTTTTTTTAAGTGCCTAGTAGTCATATCCTAAGTGCCTAGTAGTCATATCATATCGCATCTAACCGCCGGGTGCCAAATTTACGCGAATGTTGTTTTCACGTTAAACAATAGACCGGAAATATTCACAATCTTCACAGACCGAACCCGTCGAAAGTGGTGAAACGTCCATCTTTCTTTTAACGCATTCAGATTTAAAATTGAGACGAACGCCAACAGCTGTTGTAACACTGCGTTTGAAGCGTGAATACATCTCACCATCATCATCTTCATCATCTTCATCATCTTCATCTCTAAGCATCTTATACAATTATTTCTTCAGCACGTCAGCAGCAACTATGTACGTTCCACCAAAAATCAGCAGCAAAAACCTGCACACTCTACAAAACTGCTCGCCAATAAACTTGAACATTCGTCTATTTTTTTTCGTAGTTTTACGAGCGGTTTGGCACTCGGTTCACCTTCGAGTATGTGTGTTACACACGCGATGAAAGTGTTTGCAAACGTACCGAACGTTTATGACAGCGCGTTTGAATACTCAGAATGTCGGTTTATTGTGTATGAATATCATTCTTCTCTCGAGAAGCGCTCGATGTGCAATGCGAAATTATTTTGATTGGAGTATAAGCGGTAGTTTATATAGTAGTGCATAAGAACACACACGTATACACACGCGCATGCTCGCCCACACGCACGCACACCCGGCCAGCACGCACGCGTGACCGCTCCCCTCCCACAGCGCAATCGCTTCGTCAGAGCGTCGGTATCAACGCAGACGAACGAGTGACGGATAATCCAAGATGGCGACTAACCACGTGGCCGGTGGGAGGAGGCCTGCCTCGTGAGCGAGGGTAATGGGTAATGGAATGTAATCGAGCTCTGGGAATCAAGGTTCGCTTTAGTGGGTAAAACCTCTACAGATATCAGGAGTGTATAATACTAGTCTATACACTCCTGCAGATATTATGGCGGGCGCGTTTCCGACTGCGCAAAAAACTCATTACGTTACATTCCAATTATTTTCAGCGCACATCGAGCGAGCTGTCGATTACGCTCGAACATGCTCTCTTGTTAAAACCGATGTCCGATAACAGCGCCATCGTGCGTCACTATGGGGGCGCATGCGTCTGCGGACATGGCGCGTAGTTGTTGCGGTAGCATATTCAGCTGTAGGCTGTAGAATCACGATGTAGGTTCTTGCTTAGTTACGAGGCTAAGCTACCGGCTCCAATTCAGCGCGAATCTCTACCGATAGGTTTTCACCGACTCTTGTGATAGAGTCTAAAGGGTTAGAGTCGAGGTCATTTCAATTGCAGACTTCCTTCTGCCTCTTTAACTGCGATCAATACAAGCAAAAGCTGAGAAAGAGGCAGTGTGTGCTACATGTTGATTAAAATAAAACACACCACCAGCCGCGTGTAAACAAATGTGAAAATAGTTCATGCTATCTCGATATGAAGCAGTGTAGCAACGAAGCAGTACGTACCAGCAATTAGAGTCATGGCCGCAGAAGAACGGAACTTGCATCCACATGTTTCCGGGATCACAGTCAGCGCCACCTATATCTACACACTCATCGAACGTCTGCAATAAAAACACAGAAAAATCTTCATCAGCATAGTCAACCATTACGCTCGGTAGATGCACGCTTTGACTGTGTGACTTCACAACCAATTTCACAACAGGCAACAGGCCACCATTTAGAATCCACTGTCTGACCGGTTCTTAAGAAAAGTTAAGTTAAAGTTAAAGTTCGGTTTCTTTTATCGTATACGTTATCAGCATCGTCAACCGTTACATCAAGCGCGTATAAAGAAGGTAGAAAAAACCTTCTTAATACGCTCTTGATTACATACAACTCACGACCAATTCAAACAGGCAATCTATTATCGTATACGTTATGAGATTGCACAAGCTACATATCAGGAAAACCAATTAGTTGAATTTACGACAGCGTGGCAAAAAATAACAATTAAGTGTGGTAGGTCTCTGTATGAAAATACTCTAACCTATGAGAGGAATCATATTAGAGTTGTATAAATAGTTTGCTTAGTAAAAGTACTTTTTAATGTTCCTTATATGATTAAAATCCCAGCTTGGGTTACAAAACAGATGGCCTATCACTCAACTTCGGCAGACGATGTATTTACACCATTTTTAACGGTAAAAAGTGCAAGGGAATCGGCTAGAATTTCCTTAACCTTTTTCTCTTATTTTTCCTTCTTCAAATAAGCGATATTACAAAAACATGGTTAGCACACTTCAGCAAACGACGGCGGCGGCAGACACATTGGCTTTTTTTATGTGGCTTCAAAGAACTAATTGCGGTGGTAATCCAACTTTAATTTTCAAGTACGCTTCACCGCTCCACGAATGCAACCACACACGCAGCCGCTAAGCAACCTTTCAGTATACGTAGACCGTAGCTACAAAGCTGCTATAACAGTTCTGTATACGTAGACTGTCGTACACCCATGATCCTCCATTAGCTATAACTTCTCATCATCACTGAACACGATTCCCTAAAACAGCAATCTCCGGTCCTCTCTACACTGCCTTCTTAGATATTGAAATTGCGAAGAAATAGTTACAGCAGATCAACGCCGAACAGAATCAAGGCGCCTTCGTCAACATCCGAGAGTGCGAACGCCAGCGGAGTGGGGATGGGGGTGGGGGTCATATGGCTCGTAGAAGACCAGAGAACATTGCACATGCACGAGAATCGGCGAGGTATAGGAGAAATCGCCAATCACCTGCTGGTGTCTAGTTGCAAATGTATTTGTAACATTTATTTTCCCACAGTAAAATGTAAAATGTAACACCATTTTCTACATGCTTTCAGTACCGGAACGAAGTGAACAAAGTCAGTAAATGTTGAAGGAATGCGCTTAAAAATAGTTTCTAACTGTAGGATATAGGATCTTTTCTTATATGACATTTCATAGTAGGCATTATAAATAGCTTAGTACTGCTATTTACAACCTAAACGAATTGATTGCTAAACCAAATTCGTTCAGTAACTTTAGTTGACTGCATGTTTTTTTTAAATAATTTTGTTATAGGTTTGTTATAAGTATCCTTATAATTATTTCTCGTCTTTATTTCTCAAGTTTCCATAGTCCATTTAACTCGTTGTCACTCACGAAAGCGCTACGTTGAGGCCCCCGCCAGGGATATCAATCTGAGTTAGGATTACCAGATACGTCCAGAAAAAACTGGATTCGGTCTACTTTTCACTAACATGTGTTTGCACAGTCTTCCCTGCATGTGCTGAATGCATCAACCCCTCACCATGGGGTCATCGAGCTTCGCAAAAATCTATGAAAGTATGAGTTTCACATCGTAGCAATATGCATGGTAACAGGAGCTAATAATACCTAGGTATTAATAGGCATCATTTATAGGTATTAATAATTATTATTAAATATAATTAAATAATAATTTAATGAAATAATAATTAATTAAAGGGTAATATATTATATTGGCTCTTGATGGTTATTAAACTCTAGTCTGCGTGCACGTGTAAGCAGAGTTGATGAAATAGTTATACGACTTAGCAATTCAAAAGTCTAGTGTGATCATTAAAGCTGCAACTCCATGAGCGATTTTAAGTGAAAAAGAACCAGTCCATCTAAACAATATTACGCGCAGATTTTCTCTACACCCTCTCTCACTAAAAAATTTAAATAATTAATAAAAAATAAAAAAAATAATTAATTAAAATAGTCAAACTGCTAAACGTCGGCTGGTTCTTTCGTATGAAAGGAATTTCATAACAGATGTGAAATGCATACAGCCTAGGAAGGACACACGAACGGAGGACCCGGGCAGAGTGAGAGGCACCGACAGAAACATGGACCAAACAAGCATCATTTATCAAAAACAGCACCCAAGCTGTTTTCCCATACTATGACCCCCGCACGTCGGAGCAACTTTAAAATCGGCGTTCCATCGCAGATGCTACTTATATTACTATATATATTAGTACGAACTACCCAAACAAAATACGACTAAACAAAACATATCGACGATCATATGTGCGCTTTAGAAGACCCGCCATCGGCGAAAGAAACGAGTAAACATACGACGCAGCGTAACACACCGCGTGGCTTAGCGGCGGGAAGCGATGGATGAACGGATATTTGCACTCGCGAGATGCTCGCAAAACCGCGAACAATACCAACTGTAGAGCATCCATCAGAGTTCACTGAGATTAACCGGAGAGAGAGAAAGAGAGGGGGAGAGAGAGAGAGAGAGGGGAGAGAGAGAGAGAGAGAGAGAGAGAGAGAGAGAGAGCAAGAGAGAGAGATAGAGATAGAGAGAGAGAGAGAGAGAGAGAGAGAGAGAGAGAGAGAGAGAGAGAGAGAGAGAGAGAGAGAGAGAGAGAGAGAGAGAGAGAGAGAGAGAGAGAGAGAGAGAGAGAGAGAGAGAGAGAG